CACGAAGGGTTCGGGCTCTGCAAGGGATCCAATCAACTCCCTTGTTGCTTTGGTTCGGCAGGAAAGCCGGCGAATGCTGCTCCGAGTGGACGCTGCGATCTCTGCGATGCTGATGTCTTGAAGGCCTTTCACGACGGCCCGCAGATGAGGATTACCCACTTGCTTGCCAACTTGGAGAAGAAGCCGTTGCTGCACGCCCTGGCCCGCATTCGCCTAGTCCTGGGCAACGAGGCGCGGGACGATTACATCAATCGCCGCAAGAGAACCTTACAAAGAAGAAATCCAGATCGGCCCAAGCGAGGACCTCGGCATGCAGGGGAAGATCGCGAGACTTCTTGAACTGCGGTTTGCACTGCTCTTGCTTGTTAACTAGTGTTTTTGAATGGCTTTGTCATGCCAGACATGGCCAGACAGCCGCTCACACAGATGCTTTGGATGCGGCAGCTAAAATCGACTCCGTTCTTGTCGGCTAGATTTCGTTAGATTGCATGCCATTGCTTCTGTAGTTGTAGCACAGTCCTGCCTTGGGACTACCGCATGGACTGATCTGCATGCTAGCCTCCAGATCTTCGAGAGAGAGTTTTCGCGGGCGCACTGGAGAAGTGTGTTTTTCGATATGCTCTACCGAGTGTCATGAACATGCACATGAATCTCGAGGTAGGTTTCCAGGCGCTCAGCTTGTGCACTCCCTGCGCATACAGGTCAGTGACGTTCAGTTGTTTTCCAGTTAGGCGATGCCAGAATCCAACCTCAGTGTTTGGCTACATCCGAGCATCCTTTGCTTTCTTGTCGTAGTCCAATAAGCCTTAGCCATGTGGAACTACCTGAAGCCAGCTGACCGCATCATCGATCTCACTTCGGACGTCGAGATGGACGAGCAGAACCGCTGCGAACCAGTCGACTCCATTGTCGATCTCATCGTGGACGCCGAAGAGGACGAGCCGAAGAAAAGCGACGATCTCAAGCCCATCAAGCTCGAGAACAAAGTTGCCACGAACCGGCGCCTCACAAGCAAGAGGCCAGTTCCAGGGATGGATTCCATGCCGATGGACGAACTGGTCGAGGCTCACAAGCGCGGCAAAGTTGTTTACAGGGAGAAGTGGGCCCCCCACGAAGGACACGGGAATTGCCGGGGGCTACGCGGACCTTGCATCATGGGTCGCAACGGAGCGGCTGCGCCAGCAGGTCCCTCCGGGTATTGCGACCTCTGCAACCTCAAAGACATCAAGCTGTTACACGAACATGGTGAAGGTCGCTTAACGCATCTCCTGCTTCAACTTGCGGAACCGGAGGCTTCTGTGGCACTCAAGCGCATCCATCACAAGGACGCGGCCGTCGCGAAGGACCTGAAGCATAGAATGGAGCGCGCCCGCCATAGGAAGTCCGCACACATAGTGCGGCGAGGGCCTCGAGGCCCTTACAAGAAGAAAGGTGCCGAGTGAATGTGTCAGCATCTCAGAGGATATGACGACAGTTGCTTTACAAGAGATGTTGTTCAATCCTGT